GTATTACTACCCGTATATAAACCAAATTATTTATTTTAGGAAATATTTATATTTATATGAGGCAAGATATCGTTTTTGTTGTTACCATCTACATTCTTTACTTTGGTCCAGGAAACAAAGTCAATTTTCAATAAAAATAAAATGTAATAGGTAGGTAATATTTTATGAAACAGTACAATAAAAGTATTGAAATAAAGTATGCTCATACTCCAAAATGAGTCCTAGAGTTAACATTTTTATAATATTATAAATGGCATATAAAACGATTGGACCGTTTTCACAATCGCGAAATAATTTTTTTTATTTGGTGAAATCCCGGCAATTATTGAAAAATAGATTTTATGTTCAGGACTATTATTATGATTCTTCGAACTCAGTCTACTAAAAACCGGTTTATAATACAATATCCCCTAATAGCTAGTCGGTCGATATTTATAGTTACTTAAAGATTTCTGTAATAATTTGCACTAATTCAATCTCTAGTCGGTAGGTAACAGCACCTCCTTGATTGAATCTAAATTGACATAATTTTGTTCAGAAATTCCTAGGAGACGCTGTCCTTAACAACGAAGATAAAAGCGGATAGAATTATTAAACGGTTTGCTAATAATAAAAATGCTTAGATACGCCACTGGTATACGGTAAATGGGTCTCAATGGGAATTTTGAAGCCTAAAAAGATTTTATGAAGCTTGTACATTCCTATATGGTCAACCATAAACGAATTAATAGTAACATATTTAGAAAAAATATTGTCAATACACGATTATTATACAAAAATGTCCCAGAAATTTAAATTTACAATAAAAAGAGGGTTTCCTTTAAAAAAAAATCTGTTATTTTCGGAAAAATCGGAAGTAAGCCATGACGTCACAGAACAATTGAATCCATCATAAGAAAGTCTTTCAAACAAAACAAAATTAATCCGATATCTCACTGAATAGCGAAGCTAAGGGGGAGTGGAACTGTGTTAGTAACCCTAACAATGTCACTGACCTATTTGACAGAACTGATACTTAAGTTGTCATAACAAGTCTCTAATAAATAAAATAACCCAACAAAAAAAGACAAAATAAAAGTATATAGATTTATAAAACAAGTGAAAAAATTATTAATATTATTATTATATATTTTTATTACTTCAGCTAAAAAAAGTAGTATAATCAATACAAATGAATAATAAAACATAGGTAGGTATTTACGAGAAAATGTATAAGATCTTGCCTAAGCCTAATAAGTTGTCATTGAAGAATAGGTTAAATAATGTCAAAATAAAAACACTACTATTATATAATAACGTAGAATTAAAACGTATTAACAAACATAATTGGTATATTTGCGATTGTAATTTATATTTTTTTCATTTTTAGTTCGAAAGAACCCATAGAAATTAATGATTAAAACTGGTTTCCTATCAATAAATCACAAGATTGCATTTCAGCCATATACAATAATTAAAGGCAGAAATCTAATCATTTGCTAAACATTTAAGACTTAAGAGATGTTGAAGAATATCATAAAATAATAATTTATTGATTATTATGATGTCTATTATTTCCAGTATTACTGTTATTATTACAAAAATAAAGGTTTTTTTCTTCTATTTATTTTTTTGATTTATTTTCTATTTTGCTACTGAAAATTTATATAATACTCAGTTTTTTTGCTAGTATAATTTGTAATATAGCAATTTCGGTTGCTCATTTTATTGTTTTTAACCTATTTTTAGTAAAAATTAAAATGTATACGTGTATTTGATACGCCAAAACTACAAAATATCGCCCTAAAGTACTCGAATTATCCACAGCTTGCGCTAGTATCGCTTTTGCTTTCCCTACCATGACTTCGCACTGTTCGAATAGATTGCAGCCATGTTTTAACATGCCATAGCTAAACGTTCTTTCGATTAACTCTGTCGTTGGTGAAAGAGCCATAAATATTTTTATAAACCACTTTGTATGTCTGGATAAAATTCACAATATTTGGATGCTATATCATTAATGGAGAGCTCATTGTGTGTAGAAAGCTCTTTCGTACTCCAGTTTGGTATTCAGCTTCAAAATTGTCGATTCCAAATTTTTCCACTACTTTCATTTTCTAATTGGTAGTGAAAAAAGTATTGTTTTTATGCTTTTGGGATGTAACAGGCTTAAGGACAAACTAACAGAGTCTTCGGAAAAGCGTGATGTAAGCGACGTAATAAAGGAATCCAGATATGCAATAAATATATTCAACCTATAATATTCTTCAACTATATTAGCCTGAATATTATTATTTCTATATGAGATTGTTGTTCGTAAGGCATATCTTACGCGTTGTTGATTAAGTCGCTAAAAGCCAGGGGGGGGGCAACTGCCCCCCTTGCCCCCCCCCCCCAAACGACGCCCATGGACGTTATCAATTATGCATTAACAATCGAACATCTTTTATAAGTTATTTATATTTCCTAAATAAATCTTTGTTCTTTATTTTGTATATTTTTCCTTACTCTAAACCATTTTATTCAAAATTAAAGAATTGTCACTTGTCAATCATAATAGTTGTCATTTTCATAGCTTACTTTAATAATGCTAACTTTTCCGCATATATTGGTTTAACTAAGATAATTGACGTTTAATACCTCAAAAACGGCATACGGTAGGGGTAACATATATGTTTTTAAAATCAGAAAGAAAAGGTCATTCCAAAAATTAAATAATATACAGGGTATACCATTTAAAAAAAATTATTTCGTATTCCCTGAAATCTGCACGGTACTGTATCTTTTATAGCACTTTAACAAAATTGAGTCATAACCACACAACTTCTATTCAAAACTTTTTTATCTATAGGCAATAATAACGATAATAAGTGGTTGATAAGTTTAACTAAGATACTTGACGTTTATTATCTAAAAAACGGCATAAGGTAGGGGTAATATATATATTTTTAAAATCAGAGAGAAAGGATCATTAAAAAAATAAATAATATACAGGGTATCCCATTAAAATATATATATATATATATATATATATATATATATATATTCCTGCGTATCCCCTAAAATCTGCACGCTACTGCATTTTTGATAGCATTTTAACGAAATTTAGTCATAACCACACAACTTTTATTTAAAACTTTTTTTCTATAGGCAATAATAACGATGCTAAGGGGTGGGTATCGCGAAGCAGTGACAATAACAGATTCAAGATCAGCATTGGAATCAATTCAAAATATAAGAATAACATAAAATGTAATACACTGTGTAATATTAAAATTTTTTTATTCGAAATCAAAATAACGTTTATTTGGATTAAAAGCCACATAGGTATTACAGGGAATGAAAAAGTTGATCGACTGGCTAAAGATTCAATCCTCAATGGAACTTTTTTAAATACAGTATCTTATAGGGACGTATGCTCAGTTTTAAAACAGAATGTGGAAAAACGAATGGACTGATATTGAATCCAATAATCTATATCACCAGTTATACCCTCAACTACCATCTCCGCCAGAATATATTTTCGAGCACAACGTCTCTAAATACTACTCAGCATCAATGATAAGATTAAAAACACAACACGGAAGATATCCTTATCATTTAGCTAAATTAGGAATTGTCAACTCAGCAGTATGTATTTGTGATAATGTATCGATAGCAGACCTAAATCATATATTCTTTAATTGCAACAATCATAAAGACAAGACCGAAAGCCTAGTAATATAATTCATTGATTCAGTTGAAATTGAAACCACCCTTAAGTATTCCTAACTTGTTGAGTCAGGACAGCAAAATCATTAATAACCTCCTAATTGAATTTCTTAAGCAAATTAAAATACATTTATAAGTATAACTACAAGCTTAGGTAGTCATTTTCTTTAAAAGTCTGTGGCTAACAGATTAATTCTAAGCCAACTCCCCCTCTCACACACACACATAAGGGGTGGGCAATTTATAATAAATAACCCCGTACCTCACTAACATTGCAATAATACCGTGTTGAAGTAACGTCACCGTTGTTACGTTTCGCAATAAGAGGTTTGTTCCCAATTAGATGTTACGATTAGTTTGCAATTAGTACTTGAACTGACCTAAGCGCATGTCATACATGAACTACATTACAAATTAGTAAAAAGTTTTGTTCTATTGGGAACGCTTATAATGGAAAATGTCATGAATGACATTAGAGGTTGGGTAAATTGTCCGCTGGATATAGCCCCCGAAAAAAAGAAGGCCTACCTAAATAGTTTTCGTTTTTTTTTTCTGGGCTCTCCATACATTACAAAAAACTCGTCTTCTTCGTAATCACTCGAATCACTACTTGACGGAATACTGTCTTCGTCGCTCATTTTTATAAAAATACCAACAATAACAATAATAATTATCTCTACACGAGTATTATTAGTCGCCAAATTATCAATAAAAAGTTGGGTTAAGTTTACCGAATGTAGATGGAGATCGTTTTGAGCATGCGTTAACTTTTCGTACATGCTTTTTAGCAAGGACTGTTTTGATCATCCGCAAACTAATTAATGTACTAGTTTGTGTTTATTGGGAACAGCCAACTCATCGTGCATGTACTATTCTACAAGTGATTGGGAACACTTTTATGCTATTGCGCAATTGCAAACTATTCTCGTATAATCCAAACTGCGATTGGGAACAAACCTAGTTTTCTTTTTCACTTAGCTTTTCATTGAATTCTTTCTTAGCCGTGCTATTTTCTATATGATTTAAAATATTTGAATACTGCTCAATATACGGTGGAAATTTGGGGTTAGGTTGTTTATTTGTGATTCAATCAGCAACGGCGTATTATAGAAATGTATACTTCGCGACATGGCTAAATTAAGTTATTCAGATGCCGAATTTCGACAAATGGCATTTCTGGTATAGACATTATGGCGATATATCCAATTTTATCGGTCTTGGGCCGAATTCTCCACCTGTCTCCAACATATACACTCTTGTTGCATAAACTTATTGTATTAATTAGAAGGTTGACCTTTTAATAAAACTAATATTAGATAAGATAGTTTATTGAAAGTCAGAATTACTACTCAAATTAATGGTTATCAATACATCTAAAGAACATGAATTGGAAGGTGATGATGATGATGAACGACAGGCTTGTGAATGTGTTTCATTAACTTATGATAACATACTGCAACACATTTCCCTGTTTCTTCGTCTCTTGTATAATGTTCTTTACATACACAGCCGACTACGCATTCATCTACGTTACAATGACTTCGACAGTTAAATCCATCAGGGTGTTGACAAGTTTTTTCACAGCAGGGTGTACAACATAGAACCTCAGTCAACGGGTCTGAAACATATATGTTATTTTAAAGTTATTTTTATTGAAATATTAGATTTTTGTATTGTTGCGAATAAAAAAAAATTTTAAAAGCAACGTTTTACTTAAATGTTCTAAAAAGAAAAAGTAACCTTTAAATTAAATAAAACCCATCAATTTATAATATACAATTCATATTATAAGTATAAAAGCTTGACGCGAGATTTACCTGTAAGTTAAACAAAAGCTTGTAACATACATCATTGCAAGTTAAATAAAAGCTTGTAAAAATGATTAATTTTTTTATGTATAAACAGCTAAAATCGATGATGGAAATAATAACACACAAGTTGTAACGCTACAACTTCATGTGAATTAACTTTTATTTACTTTAGTGATTATTGTATTGTAAAAAAAAATATGTTTTTTTTTTGAGTAAATAAACTATATTATTATTATTATTATTATTATTATTATTATTATTATTATTATTATTATTATTACAGATGATTATTCCATCGTTTTTTAATCATTTGATCCTTTTAATGTCCACTTTTTTCGTGGAACTGCTAGGTTTTAATATGGTTATGGTACAATATTCTCTTAATAGATTATTTGTAACAAAAATTAAAATACAGATTATAAAATTAACGTTAATTTTAAATGCTTTTTTAAATTATTACAACAAATACAATTGGGGCTTTGTCTATCCTAACTATACAATGAACGATTACCGTGACGTATGTCTTTTATTTTCCTTTCCATCGAGAAGTATCGTTAAGGTAAAAAAATATTTATTGCAATTTAGGGACTAAAAGTACATACACTTTATTTTCAGATACCGAAATTATAATAGTTTAGTTTCTTTTATTCAAATTAATAAGGGACATGTCAGTTTATAGAATTAAGAATATAATAATTAAAATGTATACATACCACAACAAGGACAACTACTGATACAAATACATTTTCCACTGGGATCTCTGACGTAACCTGGAGCACATTCACAGCGTTGTATTGTTTCAGGTACACAGCAAGGATCTAGTACTGGTGTTTGATTGTCACAAGTTGGTTCGATATTACAGGAAGAAGCGCATGTATTGAAAACTTCATTTTCTCCACATTCTGTAAAAAGTAATTATATTTTTATATCTTTACTGTAATACCAAAAACTTACACAGAATTAAACTGAATTGGGTATATAGGTAAAAAAGTTCTTATTTAATATAATTCTCCATAATTCTCCATAATTCTCCATTCTGTCATAATTGAATAGGCCGCGTACATTTTTCCCAATAATTTTTCGAATTAACGTGTCTGGTACACTAAAGTCTAATTACCGTACATGATGATACTTAATTAATAATTCATTACCTATTCCAGATTAATATGTCATAATGATTTATAGACGTACCCATACCTATAATTAAAATGTATACATACCACAAGGACAACTGCCAAGACAAATGCATGTTCCATCGGGACCTCTGATGTAACCTGGGGCACATTCACAACGTTGAATTGTTTCAGGTACACAGCAAGGATCTACTTCTGGTGTTCGGTTGTAGCAAGTTGGTTCGATATCACAACTGGAAGCACATGTATTGAAAACTTCATTTTCTCCACATTCTGTAAAAAAATGTATCAAAGGTATCAAAAGATTTGCTTACGTCGAATTAAATTGGATTTGGTATAAATTATGATGTAATATGTAAGAAATTTAACTAGAAAAACAAACTTTATACAAAAAACAAAAGGGTATCTATCCTCTTAAATGTAGTCAATGTAGTAACAAAATAAATAGTACAAAATTGTTCATCCTTCAGAATTATATAGGACCTGTCTTTCAGTTTGTCAAAAACATGCTGGTTGTCGGTGAAAGGCGTCTAGAGACAGCCAGCCATCTTCCCCGCTCATCAAAATTCTGCAGGTTATCAACTCATTAAAAACCTGCTAATTATCGCTGGGAGTTGTCTCCAGATGTTTCCTTAAATTTTGCTTAGCAAAAAATATCGTCTCTGACAATATTTTAGACATTTTATGCAGGTGGTTCCAATTAGTATAAAGGTACCATTTCGGTAGGCGCGACAGACGACCGCCGACGCGACCGAGAAGTATCTCTTCACGTCTAAAATACATACAATTATATGAAACACATTTTGCACGGCGCGACACTTCTGAATCTGTCTCGGGGCAAAGCATTTGCTGCTTGTCGCACTCGAGGTCACTGTCCCCAGGCGTCGCTTCTATCTGGAGGTGATTGTGGGTTGGAAATTTCTTTCGATCTAGGCAGTGTTGCCAGATTTTTGGAACAGTATGGGTGAAAAAAAAAACCGTAGACACATTGTTTTTAGGCTCATGTTGAGAGCGTCTATTTTATATGTTAGTGGATTTTGCAGCACATTGTGCAGGGCCGACAAGAGGGGGGGGGGGGGGGGGCAGCCGGGACTAATTCCCGGGACCCGGGCTCAAGTGGGGGCCCGGCTGCGGTATAAGAGAGGCCCGGCAACTGTGGCGAAGTTCTTGGTACTTTCAGAAGTTCGGCACAAGAGGGGGGAAGTTTTTTTTTTAGAGAAATTCATGAGAAGTTTAGTTTTTGCTCGAAGACCTTTTGTTTTAGAGAAATTAAAAGTAGATGAGGAGAATTTTAGTTTATGCTTGAAGACCCTTTTTTTTAGAGAAATGTTTAGAGAAATTCAAGAGTAGAGGAGGAGAAGTTTTTGCTTGAAGACTTTTTTTAGAGAAATTGAAGTAAGGAGGAGAAATTTTTGCTTTAAGGCTTTTTTTTATAAAATTGTCATGGGGCCCGATCTGGAGAATTGTCCCTGGGCCCGACCTGGCTCTTGGCGGCCCTGACAATGTGGCAATGATTTGTGTTATCAAATAATAAAGCAAGTTCAACGGTTTAGAGGTGACTTAGTGTCTTTTCTATATCCGTAGTATTATAATAAACGTTTATACACCTCTATGGCTTAGGAGCCGATTGTAAATTGATGAAATAAATGGACTGTATTGTTTTACTGGTTCATAATTGAATTTATTCAATACCTATAAAACAAGTCAAATAACAAAAGCTAAATCAAAATAAAAAATAACAGAAAAATTATTAATAGAAATTAATAACTTTCTTGTTTGCAGTGTTGCCAGGTAAAAATTGTGTAGAATAAGTAGGTTGGTATACGGAAAATAGTAAATTACCATAATTTAACTCAAGAGTATATTGTTATTAAACAAAAGTGAACATAAATATTCTTGAAACAGCAAATTAATGAATTAATTACAATAAAAATAAATATAAATATTCGTGAAAACAAACAAACTAATTAATCTGATATAGATTTTGACAATACAACTGTCCTGTATTTGTAATACTCATGATGCATATTTTAAATGAATCTCGATTACCATAACTTGTACTGAAGGTGTTTTTTATATGGTATATTATTCTACAGATAATTTTATATAGGTTAAAAAGTTCTTATTTAATATAATTCTCCATTGTCCTAATTGGATAGGCCGCATAAATTTTTCCCATTAATTTTTCGAATCAACGTGTCGATACACTTGCGTCTAATGAACGTACATGATGATACGAAATTAATAATTCTTTACCAAATCCAGATTAATATTGAATATGTCATACTGATTTATAGACTTGCCCATATCTATAATTAAAATGTATACATACCACAAGGACAATTAGCAATACAAATGCATGTTCCATCGGGTCCTCTGATGTAACCTGGGGCACATTCACAGCGTTGAATTGTTTCAGGTACACAGCAAGAATCTACTTCTGGTGTTCGATTGTAACAAGTTGGTTCCATATCACAACTAGAAGCGCATGTATTGAAAACTTCATTTTCTCCACATTCTGTAAAAAATTGTATATATCAAAGGTATCAAAAGATTTGCTTACGCTGAATTAAATTGTATTTGTTATATTATGATGTAATATGTAAGAAATTTAACTAGCGAAACAAACTTTATGCTCAAAACCAAAACAAAAGGGTATACATCCTTGTGGTCAATGTTGTAACAAAATAAATAGCACAAAATAGTTTTAATGTTCTGCGGTACTATTATTGGCTTCTGTATCTATAAGGTGGGTAGAGGCTGTGTTGCTTCCTAGCACTTAGGCCTTATTAGATATATTGTGCGTCCTCCAGAATCATATAGGACCTGCCTTTCAACTTGTTAAAAACCTGCTGGTTCTCGGTGAGAGGCATCTACAGACAGCCATCGTCCCAGCTCATCAAAGTTCTGCAGGTTATCAACTCATCAAAACCTGCTAATTGTCGCTGGGAGTTGTCTAGGTATAGTCAGCTTTTTAGGTCAAAAACCTGCAGGTTAATAACGTCGTCAAGAGTTGTCTCCAGATGATTCTGTTTTTGGAAGTGGCCAATTGATTGGATTCTACCACCCTGATGGTAAATGCCCGGGTGAAGCCATTCTGTCCGCCATTTCCACGGAACACCCATTTTTAAATTTTGTTTACCAAAAAACATCATCTCTGACAATATTTCAGGCATTTTATTTAGGTGGTTTCAATTAGTATTAGAGTGGTTTTTAAACTTGATATGTATTTAAGAATTGTTGGACACATACATAAATGTGGGCTATATTTATATCCATCTCTTCGGCGATTTCTCGAACAGAGTATTCAGCCATACTTTTTTGTTATCGCCTCTAATGTTCTTCGGAAAGGAAGGATATTTCACCTCACACTCCTTTGGAGATCGATCAATTCACAGTCAAATTACCTTTTTTTGATTTAAACAGTAAGTTTTGAGAAATTTTATTGCCTCAACACAAAACCTCGCCCTGTATATACAAAATTTTAGTCTAATTTGATCTATCGTGTACAATTTATTTTAAATAAGACTATCAGGTAAGGTTCAGCGATAGTTAGACTAAATAAAGCGATTTTTGTATAATTACCAAAATAAAAGTATTATGTATATATATTTCTTACATAAATCATTTACTAATAAATAAAATTTACCTGTACAAGGGCATTGACTTATTGGAATACATTTTCCATATACATCTCTGATGTAACCCGGGTTACATTCACATCTTTGTTGGCAATTATCTTCTACACAACCACATTCTGGTTCCGGTGAAGGATTTTGGCAGGTTGGTTCTGCAGTACATTTTAAAGCTGCTGTATTAAAGAATTCGTGGACAGGACATTGAGCTGTAAAAAAGAGATTATTAACAAATATTAAATATACAGTGAAATCGAGAGGTAAAAAGAACATTAGTGGCAATTATGAATAAATGGAATAGCTTTGTATCAAAAACGGATACTGGTATATTGTTATCAATTATTATTGCAATATTGGGAGAAATGGACAAGAAGTAACAATATTTGATTTTTGCAATTTTACTAATGTAATTCCAAGTGGCAAAAAACAGTACATAATCGCAGTAGATAGAAGGGGATAGATAGCACAGTGGTATAGTATTTCGACCACCAATGGGGTATCAGGCCACAAAGGACATAAGGACAGATAGCATGTCCACACAAATAATTATTTGCCCTTACACGCGATTGCTACAGTGCCACTGAGTGGCCCCACCAAGTGATTATTAGGACAGGACCGTACTCTATACGTACACATCCCTAATTGTCCAAGAAGCGAAATGTAAGTTGTATTAACGAATCAGATACGGTGATGTGCCGAGGTGAGCTAAGAGTTACTATGAACGGCCATTACACCGCACAGAGGTGAAAAAATAATTATTTTTTGCTGTAGCGCTCCAAGGCGACTTACAGTTGATTGTGGTGCCATTAGACATACAGGTTAGAAAAACCCCTCTACCATAATCGAAACTATAACTCACTGCATACCGTATCAACAGAAATTAAATTGATGCTGATATGGCACCCATCGAATCCTACAACGAATAATGCAACCCACTAAAGGGTAGTAAATAAAAATACATCCGCTCGACATATTGGGCTACCCAGACGATAATCTTGTGAATATATATACAAAAAGCATTGGTAATAACCCTGGTTGCAATTCTTCAACACTCCATTACCAATAATTGTATGTAAATTTAATTCATTCGAAGAACCAATTATTTTATCGGTGTACATCGATCGATAAATACAATCAAGAAATACTTCAAACTTAAGACTTACACTAACACCCATTCGATATAATGTCTTATGTAAATATTGATATTAGATATTGTTTAAAGTGATGTTCAAATCCATTACAGATTTTGCAAAATAATTACCGATATTTGACTTCCATAGTCAACCTCGAAATGAACAGTTGTACCATTCACAAAAGTACAGGACTTCAGGACTAAGACTATTATTACTTAACAACATATCTATTCCATTTATTACAGAAGACAAATACTTCGGAGTTATTTTTGACCAAAGGATGACGTGGAATCTACACATCAAAAAAGTTACATACCTACAAAGCTACAATAGCTCTCGTAAGCTGTAAAATAATATGAGGGAAAAACTGAGCCTGAGGCATCGGCACTCTGCAGCTCGCCTGTCTGAGTGCCACAGGGACCATGCAAGTCCTATTAAAGCTTACACCACTGCATATCTTCATACAGGGAAAAATCAGGTCCGTCATTCACAGGCTTCCTAGACTACATAGTATTGACCATACAAGGCTATACCAGCAGGTAAAAAAGAATAAGTTTCTAGGATTTCTTACTGATATAGCCATATATACAAATTTGAAAGAAATGTTCAAATTAAAATAACATCCTGAAAATCTTGGAAGCAGGGTCCTCCCATAGAGGCTAAACTCGTCTTAAACTCGTCTAGTACACAAACATTTTAAAAACCAAGGATATAACTGATGCTGGATCTTTGGACACAAGTCGGAAACAATGATTTCGTTGAGTCTAGGAGAATACGCAACAGTGTTCCAAGTCAAATTAATAGACATACAACACCGTGCAAGAGAAATAATATCCGCAAATATCAGGCAAAACTGATAGCTAAGCAGCTCTAAAGGCAATTCTCTCTCCTTAAATCAAATCACTACTGGCGAAAGACTATCTGGAAGACTAGATAGACTCAAGTAGACAAAACAAAGTGACCGTAGCCTGGGTATCAGGTCACGAAGGATAGCAGGGCAATCAAAAAGCCGACAAACTAATCCTTCTGTGGAGTTGCTAAGGCATCTATCAGACAATGAAGACAAAAAGAGTCTCAGGAATGACAGAATAACTATCCAAACTTGAGACAGGCCAAAGAGTTCATTGTCTTCTTACTGGATAGGTACTGTCGCCTAAGAATCCAGCAGAATGGAAAGAAGAAGAAATAGAAGAGGAAACATTAAATCACATACTGTGTCAGTATAAAGGCCTGGCTAGATTGAGGTTTCTAACACTAGGTGAAGAAAATCCAGAAGAATGTAACTACATGCTGGACTTATTCTAAATAACGTAGTCCCACAACAGATCTTAAAAGATTGCAGTGAACAAGCATAAATCATATCCAACTCCTTTTATATTTATGTATCTACTAATTATAGAAAATGGGTTAATAAATTTGTAAATTGTATGTTAAAACAACGTTTCATTTTCATCCGAGTATTATTTTCTTAATGTAGTGAAATTTGATACAAAAGAAAACATATCCTTCATTTTAAAATTGATTTGAAAAAAAATATTTTCACTTAACTTATCTCACAGTTGGTCGAATTTTAAAGTTATATGTACCAAATTTTTTCTTTTCGTCACTAAATTTTTGATAGTTTTTATTGATGTGGCAGCTTATTTTACCTAAAAATGTCGCTTAGCTCTTTTCACAACTAATACAGTATTTTTTTATTAAAAAAAATTTTTAAACTCCGTCACAAAAAGTAGTAAAGTGAAATGAAAGTTTGGTTTTTTTTTTGTAGGGACAAATAAAAATATCTTAAAATCGAAAATATTACAGACATGGTATTTAGAAATATTAAAATCCCTATTCTAGTATTTTTAGATAATCCAGGCGAGATAATTGAAATGAAAATTGGTATTAGAGACTTCTTTAAGGGTACCTAAAGAAACAAATATTAAGAAGGTCCAAAATTAATATTGAAAATAATGTAATGGAATATGAGTCACGGGCAAAATTTTAGTAATTTATACTTACGGTTAGAATAAACAGGTGTAATGTTTACAACAGAAACTACCACAAGTAAACAACACGAAAGGTATGTTTGAGTGAACAACATGTCTGAACTTTCAATAACTAAAAGTCTCAATGATTTAAAACGAATGTTCTGAACTTATATATAGGTATATTTCTTGATAACACCCAAAATTTAAATTATAGAAATACAATAATTTCACAAAAAGATCGTGTTTAAATTACCTTAATTTAATTTTAGTGTTATAGGCTAATATGATAACATTTTTATCTAGAATTTTCTTATACTTAATACATACTTTATTTTTAATAGCCATTTAAATTGGCTATTTCAAAAAGTTTATAATTAATTCCTTCAATTTTGGCAATTCGATAATATTGGTATGTATCTACTATACCGAGTGTTTTAACAAGAAAGGTTTCCGGTTAATACAGCCTATTTGGAAAAAATGCAAGTGGTCAAGAGGTATCATTGTAAATTTATTTTTAAGTATCTAACACTAGAAAGCATACCTATGACCAATGAGAAACAGATAAACAAGGGGGTAGTTAAAATTGAGTAAAATTTCACATAAATTACGATTTGTTATGTGAGGGTCCTATTATCAGGGGTATCCATAAAAAATAACACCCATATTGTGTATATTGTGCAATTGTTCATATTAATGTGCTGCTGCTATTTGTAGTTCAATAGTATTTTAATATTTTAGTAATTTTTCAAGTCTATGTTTTTTTTGTCGTAAATAAAAATGAGAATAAGTGTAGTTAATATTAATGTTAGGTCTCTTGTATTGCATCTCAATGCTTTTAAAGATTTAGTTTATTGCAAATATGATATTATTGGAGTAACGGAAACCTGGCTTTTAAATAATATACCCGACAATATTGTACAACTTAATGGTTATCGACTATTCAGAAGAGATCGGGGAAGTAGAGGAGGTGGATTACTTATCTACATTAAAAATAACATTAAAGCCAACATTATTCAGGGGCTTAATTCAAGTAACACTGAAGAAATGTGGGTTTCCTTTATATTAGATAGGAAATATGCATTGGGGATTTTTTATAGACCACATTCCCACACAGTTTCTAACTTCCTGGAAAACTTTGAAATGTCTCTAATAGTATCGTTTCACCTAAATTTAATCAAATAATCTGATTAGGAGACTTTAATATCGATTCAATGGGGCCTGTTAGCAGAGTTGGGTCGAATACTGAAATCCGGTATTCGAATACGAATCCCGAATACTGTATTCTAAATTGTATTCGAATAATCAATATTCGAATACAAAGAAAAAAAGTATTTGAATACCGCTGTATTCGAATACCTGAATTCATTTACATATGAATACTTTATAAATATTTCAACTGCAAATAACATTTGCGCACATAAAGCTTGATTATTATTTATGTAGTTAATTTATAAAAATATAAAAAGAATTAAAAGTCTATGTTAAATAAAACTTGAAATATCATTTTTTCATACAAAGTGTCACAGTGAGGTTAAATAAAATAATTGTTTAATAAAAAACATTTGTTGATTTTTATTTCTTAAAGTTTTAATAAAAAAATATAAAAAAAAATCTGATGTGTCCAA